AGAATTCTCAGCAGGTGCAGTCCTTTATCGTCCTATGTCTGCTCAAACAAGCGGCGAATTCCAATTTATCACAGCCCCATTCGTCTTAATTAGTTCTTTAACATTTTAATTCACAAGAGTAATTAGTTATAGCAAAGCTTAACTGATCACAAGGAACGAGCTCTAAGTTTCAAACATAAAAAGCATTTCTGCCTTTCCACAGAATCTGCTATCACGGTGCTTAATTAAAGTCTCAATCTGGAGACATGATAAGTACAAGGCAAGCCAAACTTGAGTCTAGTGTTAACCACAGCTCTACGTATTACACGCTGGTACTGAAATTAAGAAAGCTGGATTAGCGGTAAAACTAAAGTCAAACTTAATTAATGATTAATTTCATGAGCTAACTACGACCACTGAAAAATCATTAAGATCGTGTGAGTGAAACAATTATGGCTCGGAACAAAGCAAGGAATTTAACAAGCGTATTCCCCAGATGACCCAGAAACACGCAACAGCCTTGACTTGGACAAGCAGCCGACTGAGTGTATCTGGTCCAGCCGTCTATGCGGAACATGTCGCACGTATGATTTATTATGACAAGTTCTGCCTGATATTAATGGATCATGACATAAATCCTTCGGTTTTAAAACACACCAGTCCTCGTCAGTGAAATGAAAAATGCTTATAAAACTACCTGTTGTAGGATCGGCTTGTGGATGTTCCAATTTATTTAATAAGAATAACTCGTTGGTTATACATCATGTTCTAACCTACTAACTAACCAACTAACTGGTAGTGGTTACAATTTCTAATTCAAACTCCAGACTGGCTATTTTAGTTACTAAATTATGTTGCTTTCTTCAAACACTCCACGAAATGCTGGGATAAATTACCCGTATTAAAGTAAACAGCTCGATTTATCAACACATTCCCTTCTCTCACTACTCATTATCATCCTCAAATCTTTTTCGGATCTGTATTACCCGATACAGTATAGTTACGTAATAGGTCCGTACATAAATACACTCTTCATTCTCAGTTTTAATAGCTGGTACAAGGTGGTAATACAGAACATATAATTTAAAACGCAAACAAAGGGAAGTCAAGTACTACAGTCCAAAACTTCTTCCGACAGTC